ATAGATCCTGTTTTCTAAATGATTGACTAAAATTAATAATTTATTATCAATTTCAAGAATTAAATAATTTCGATTATTAAAATTTCTTCTATAACATGTATTTTATTATTTTTATCGTTTTTGGACTCTAAGGGCCATTTCGCACCAACACAGTCGAGTCTAATCCCGTCAGATTCAGTCTAGTCCAGTCAAATCACTACAGTCCACTGCTTTCACACCAAACGTGTCCGACGTTTGTTGATGACATTTTTTTTAACGTGTTTTCAGCAAAAATGAGCAGTTTAACAACAGAACGCTTTGGAAATGGACGAGATTCTTAGAGTAATAATTTTACGTCGATTAAAAAAAAGAACAAGGCGACGGAGAAATTTATTTTGGATACATCCCATTCATAATAGAAGACTTGTTTTTATATAGATAGCTATTTATGAATGAAGTCTATGTGCCAGACGCACTATTGGCGGACCCTGTATCAACCTGTATGTATTCAAAAGATCCACTATTCCTTATACAGGGTGAGTCTTAAATAAGTGCAAATATTTTCAGGGCTGGTGGATCTCGATTAAAGAAACATATTTTTTCTTTACCATTTTTCAAATAAGTCCAAAATATCGGAGATACGTTGAAAATTAAAAAAAATGATTTTTCGCTTAAATTTTGAGAACCACTGGATCTTTTCTGGATTTTCTTTCTTGTAATATTTTTATATCTTCAAAAGGTCTAAATTGTATTATAATTTATTATTCCAGCTAAAAACACTTTTTAGATGAGTTCAACTATACGGTAGCGAGCATAGTTTTACGCACTGGTTTTGCAAGTGGGGTCATAATTGGGGCTATTTCGGCTATAACGAAATTTATTACAGTACGTAATTATAATTTTTGAAGTTATTCATAAAACAGTTAACCACTAGTTGATTAAAAAAAGTATACCATTAATATTGCAGATTGTATTTTATCCTCCCATAGTATCTGTCTATTTAATTTTTTGATTATGTAACGAGCAGTGTTAATAGTTTGTTTACTCACTTGTTTAGTCGAACTGCTTGAATCCAATTTTGCCTTTTGACAAAGTCGGTGTGAGAAAGTATGAGGCTACAAAATGTTGTAAAGTAAAGTAAAGATTTGAAGTTAACGTCTCCTTTTTGCTGCCAGGGCTAATCTGGACGGACAAAATGTTGTTTTGGGAGAAGTGAATATCCGGGAAAGTTGAGTTATTGAATGTTATTGCACCCAACAACGACCTAATTACGCTCTCCTCAAGCGCGTTAACATGTTTTCGGCAATTTTATTAATATTTTAAATTGCCACAACACAACACGATGCCTAGATACGGATTCTTATTCACTAGTTCTTTTACCTAAGTGTTTTATAGTTTCAATAACTGCATTAGGAAAAAACTATAATATTTAAATATTATAACAAAGCCACGATTTCAATATTATTTTAATGCGATCAACAAGAACTGTAACCGGGACGGCGTAAAATTAGTGATGGGCAAAACTGTTATTTTTAGATAACAGTTGAAACTGTTATAGTTATTTATAAAAAACAGCTTAAAATAACAGCTTAAAAATAACAGGTTTCTTTATTTTATTGCTAAATATCTGAAAGAATATGAGGCGGTCACCGCCAGGCGTATTAACGCAGTTGCAAGTTGCAACAATGACATGCTCGGTGGTAGTATTTCCAGCGTGTTAAAACATTTCTAAATAGCCAGTGTTATCTAAAATACCTCTCTAAAAATGGTGGTTGTTTACAAAGAAGCGCTGTTTACAAATTGCAATATAAAAAAGCCAAAATTCCGCCACTCGTCTATACGTATACATTCCGATCTATCTACGCCTTGCCCCTCGATCCGCGTAGATCCTGAATTGCGTAGCAGTGTACAGGGTGCATCTCACTCAACGGGCGAGAAGCTCTTAGTTATAATTTTACCATTTGCGGTCAAAAAATAGCAATATAAGAAAATGTGTAGAATATTCTTCATAAGTAAACCAACTACACACTAAAGTTCGAATTAATTTTACACTTAAACTAGCGTGTACCCGCGACTTCGTTCGCGTCGAATTAATAATTTGTAATGGTGATGATAAAACAAAGCAATTCTATTTTTTTTAATTTCTATTAACATACAAACTGGATAAAATTTTCTCACATTTGCCAAAAATAAGCTTTAAACGTCGAGCAGTTTAAGCAGAATCGTGGTTAATCAATTACTCAACTTTTTGGAACACCCTGTATGACTTTTTAAAAAATTTCAAAATATGTAAAAAAACAAAATAAATTATGCGTGTCCAAGCGTTTTCCCGAAAGACTAACCGTTTTTTAAATAACAAATATTGTAATATTTGAGGAGCGTTTTCACCCTTTTGGAATTTGAGATTCGAGAAACCCCTCCTTATCGAACCTCAACCCCACGGTCAATCCGTTTGCCAAAAATCAGCTTTAAACGTCAAGCAGTTTAAGCAGAATCGTGATTACTCAATGGTCATATTTTATGAAACACCCTGTATATATTTTTAAAAAATCTTAAAATATGTAAAACAACGAAATAAAATATACGTGTTTAAGAGTTTAAGTCTGCTTCTCCAACCCGTTGCGAGCCTCCATCTACAATCGACCGATGCAGCAGCGTTCCTTTCCCACTCCTGTTATCTCGACCGCCAGGCGTTATGCCCGCAACTGTTTTAAAAAACCTGCTTCTTTTATATCCTATTATTTTTAAGCTGTTGTAAGCTCAATACGACTGTCGACGGCATCGACCGAAGCAGCTACGTTCGCCGTAGCGCATTCCCCACTCCGCTGTCCGTTGTCTCGCCGCCTGTATCGATGGTTGACGAAATAGCATGTTTTCCATCCATACTAGTTATTTTTTGGAATTGCTTCGAGCGGCATAGAATTTCGTGGCGGTGCAGAGCGCCGACTTCGTTTTTCGTTTCACGAGCGGCCGATCTCTACGTGTCGTTATTTTATATCTGTTATTTTTTAGAATGAGTAACGGTTGCGATATGTTATTTCTAAATAATTGTTATGAAATAACAGATAGTTAAATAACAACCCATCACTACGTAAAATACATAGCAAAAATTGCTGCGGTCGGAATTTTTTGAATATACTGAAATGAACTAAGTCTATAAAACAGGGAAAATAAGCTAACCTGTAGACAGGGGTGGATGGGGAAGTGGAAACCGGCCCGGGAATAACAGGCAACCGGCCCAAATCCACAAAAACAAAATGACCATAATGAAGAAACATATCTATAAACAACGGTGATTTTCACTCGGGCGAAAAAAAATTTTTTGCCTACGGTTTTTTAAAAAAATTGAAATTGTCTTATTTTCATAAAGGTCAATATAGGGTAGTATATCTGAATTTTTACTACACAATGGCTCAGATTTACAGGGTTTTACTGCTTTATTTCCATTATCGATAACGGTAATTTGATCCTGAATAGGCTACGATTTTGACAAACTATAAGTCTTCATGATTCATTCGGTTCAGCTGGTCCAATCCTTTGTGAAATACATTATTTTTAGCTTTTCAGGTATATACTTACTATAGGTATATACTATACGTATAGTATATTGGTTATACATTGTAGAAACAATTTCTTTTACCGAATGAACCGCGGTCGCCATTAAAACTACTGCATTTTTTAGGTATTATTGTCTAGTTTTTATCACGTAACTTTTCCTCGTTTCTACATTTGGCATCTTGTATGATAATCCCATGACTCAAACGACAAAACTTAGGCAATACTTAGTCAGTGAATACAAATGTGTTCTGAGGTAATGCTATGTTACCGTCCATAATAAGAGTATTTGGATTTTCGAGACATTAATTTTTTATTATCCAATCTAGTTTAAACCTTATTTAACTCTTCTCTACTGTCTCAGTCATTTTTAGTAAATTCATTTGAGCAACATTTAAAACAACAATTTAGACTTAGCTTTTACTTCTCAGATTTGGTTTTTAGTCCGTCCCCAACTAAAACCAAGCATAGAGATAACCATCTTCATGTTTTCTCTGTCAACCACAGAGTTCGCATCTATGATTCGCGTCAAATTCGCCTACCTTTTTTACAAAGGGAAGCTCGAAAAATATTGCACCGAGACACTTAGATCGAGACTATTTAAATTTACCTAATGATGTTCACTCTTTTTTCTGCTGCCAGGCAGTCATATTTATTAGTTATTAATAAAAAAAAATAGTGGATAAAAGTATACAGAGTGAATTTTAAATAAGTGCAAATATTTTTAGGGGTGGTATATTTTGACCCCAGGAACACGTCTATGAGGTTTTTTTTACAAAAAAAATGTAAATCGTGCATTTTCTTTTAAATTTCCTTGTATATTTTAGAAAACGTTTTAGAACTTCCTGTTCACCGCAAATTTTCCCACGAGGGTATAGTTTCTTAATCTCTGATATTACAGCACTAAAACAGATGCAAATGCAGAAAAATTTCAGTGGCTTAATTTTTTTTAAAGTATTTTTTTTTAATTTTCAAACTTTAATAACTCGTTTATTTTGGACTTATTTGAAACACGGTAAAGAGAACATAATATTATGTTTCTATTATTGAGATCTACTAGCCTTGAAAATATTTGCACTTATAAACTCACCTTGTATAATAAAACTTTTCAAACCGGACAAACGACAAACAACCGTTGTTTATTAAAATTATAAGTGTCTCAGAGAAAGACATCCTATACAATAATTATTTTACAAGTTGGTGTTTATGTTTAAAAGCAACTGACTATTATATTGATGCAAATCGATTAATATAGTTAGTTATGCAGTCACTAAGAATCTTCCGTCGCTTTAGTGAGAAGATTAACCATTTAATTTTTTCTAATCCATTTTTTTTGCCCTGATCGGGACCGGCCCACCGGGAATTTTCCCGTTTTCCCATATGGCCCATCCACCCCTGCCTGTAGATACGGTAGATACATGAAACAGGTAAATTTTTATCAAATATTTATAAGAAAATCTAATAGATATTGTCTATAATGTTTATTTGGTTAAATATATTTTTTTGTATAAAAATCTAAAATGCTAGTAAAAAATTGACAATTACCAAACGTAATCCTTATCACTGATGACAATTTTTTTCTCGTTAAACACATATTTAACATTTTATCACAGTAAAGAGTGATATATTGCTATTAAAAAATATCTTATTTTCTATTCATCGTTCCGCATATTTTATGACATCGACATATAGACCCAGAACATTTAATTTCAGATGTCGCCTCTTGGTTTTGTTTCGTGTAACTTATTTTGTATGTAAAATACATCCTTAATTATAAATATAACTTAAAATTATGTACATGTACAAAAATATGCTAAAATTATTTTATAAAAAAGTCCAATAAATAATTATATATATTTTAAAAATATTTTATGCTTCAAACTGCATAATTGTTATCATAGTCATTATACATAATTCTTAAAAATATGTTAAATTTATCAGGTAGTCATAAAATAAGGCTTACACTATATGTTTAATAATAAGTATATAAAATAACAGACATTTTTTTCAAAATTTAAATACTCAAAGCTTGGTTTTAACTTAAATGCAAACGACTCCAGTCTCAAAGTATTTCGAAATGCCAACAATGTTTACTTTCTCGTTATGTCTCTAACAACTTGGATTTTGTACTTTTAATATGCACTTTAATCTTGATTTAAATACTTAGTATATACATTATTATATTTTATAAAATAAACATTGTCGACTCTGTTCTGCGATTAGTCATAACTCTTCGTTTATTCGTTTGACGTTCGACTCAGTAATTGTATGGCCCATAAGCTGATCCTGTGGTGTAATAGGGTCCAGTGTATGGTTGAGGTGGAACGGGATAGCCAGCATAAGCGTATTGTTGCTTCTGCGGGTAAACTATTAAAGAAGAAAATTTGAATAAAATCAGATCAATCAACTTATAACGGGAATTAAACACAATATGATGTATGTGACTACTACACTCACCGGTACGAAAAACAGGCACCTTAAAACTTTCATGTATTTAAAGTTTTATACAGGGTGGTCCGAACTGTATTCCAGAAACCCCGGCAGCTTATTCTGCAGATAAAAATAAGTAAAAAAGTTCGTATAAATGTATGTCCTAAAATGCTCAGTTTTGGAGATACAGAGTGTAGAATATTCATTGTTATTTCGATTGTTTCAAAATAATTTCTGAAGTAACGTCATTATTTGGATGAAAATTGGTGTCTGGGAGTTTTTTGATATGATAAATTTGGGATTTTGATATCAATATGACTCCTACTTGTAGGGGTCACACCTACATACATATTTTTTAACTGGTTTGAAAAAATAACTTTTCGTCCGTACCTGTATAAATCTACTGGTAGTGAAAAAATGTACATTTCCATGATTTTTTATGTAAAAAATGTCTCTTGGTAAAAATCGCTACGAACTACGAGCAACCGCCAACCCAAACAATGATATTTAGAATAGAAACAGTCAATAATATATGTCATTATTGACAAAAAATAAACATGTCGAGTAGATAGTTATTTGACTGAAATGATATATTTTTATTTCTTTAAATTAATCAGAAATTTTTCTTCGAAAAAATGATGATAAAACAATTTCTGTTGAACTTTTGGCATAAAAACATTTCAAATTTATGATTTCAGTCTAATAACTATTTAGTATTTAATTTATGCCAATGAAGGGCAGCAGGGCCGCTTTATCCATTAGACAAGAAATGCAGCTGTCTAGGGCCGGCAATTTTTACAAATAAAATAACTCGGAAAACAATATATCGAAAATTTAAGATACTGCCATAATATTGTATAAATTTTGAATTGCTTACAATTAGCACATTATTTTTTTGCGATTATTAGAGTAATATAAGTATTGTATTAAGAATTCCTTTTGTTAGTTTTCCTTTGTTTTATGGGTTTTATGTAATCTTAAGAGAAACTAACTTTTTGAAATATTTCAAAATTAATATTTTCCGAACTAATTTCATAAAAAATTGTATATTTTTTGGAGCCCTGTATATTTTTGAATCACAATACATATACATAAAATATTATTCTAAACAACTTTTCTCTTTGATCTTTTAAATATTTTTTTGTCTCTTAACCCGATCTTTTACAATATTAAGATGGATTTTTCTCCTGATGTCAGTTATTTTTTAAGAAAAATGCATCAACTTTTTACAACAAAATACAATCCATTTGTTGATGGTATTAGGTACAGCTGGTTCCAATAAAATTGAATACGATTTGAAACATATTTTTATTATTTCGGGCAGTATATTCTATGATACCAGTCCCCCATTTCTCTGCTTATGTCATGCTGACGTTCTGAAAAATATATTCGCCACTTTGTCAAAAGCAAAATTGTTTTATACAATGTCACAATAACCTTAACAAGTCAAAATACTTGATACATAAATATACACTGCTCAAATATTCGAATAAAATATGTCAAGAGTCGTATTCATTTTTTTGGAACCAGCTGTACAATAGTATATTGTTTTATTACGAGTAAAAATTACACTTTTTGTGGCAAGGCTGTACGGTTAACATTACAGGCGATTTTTTTTCAAAAGCCACAAATAATTTTTAAACAATTTCAAACGTTACAAATTATATAGAAATATTTGAAAGTTATACATAAATAATTATATATCGAGAAACTATGGTTACGCTCGTTGAATTTAACACTTGATGTGAGTTTAATAATATATTTTCGTACTTTTGTGCTTATGCGTAAAAGTGCTTTACTTTTATGCCTAGGTGTTAAAATGACGTTTTTATATTGTCAATCACGTCACAAAAATCAATACTTTTGTGGCGGTTGAAAAAAAAAACATTTTTACTTGAAATTGTATTAATGAAGGGGCGGCAAAAAAACTGTGCCTAGGGTACCAACTTTTCTTAACGCGGCCCTGGATGGCAGGTATTGATGATTTAGATTCGAAATATCTCGAGATCCAATACTCGTAGCGATTTTTCCCAAGACGTATAAAAAACGTTGTAAATGTATATTTTTTACTCAGTAGTTTTATACAGGTACGGACGAAAAGTTATTACTTTTCAAACCAGTTAAAAAATATGTAGGTGGCGCCCCCTACAAGTAGAAGTCATATTAATATCATAATCAAATTTCTCATATCAAAAAACTCCCAGATACCAACTTTCATCCAAGTATTGACGTTACTTGAGACATTATTTGGAAAAAATCGAAATAAACATGAAACTTCTACACCCTGTATCTAAGGAATTTAGAACATACATTTATACGAAGTTTTTTACTTATTTTTATCTGCAGAATATGCTGCCGAAGTTTCCGGAATACAGTTCAAACCACTATGTATATTGTGATCTAGTGGACCGATTTTGATGATTTTTTAAGCAATTTGTAGCTAAATTATTTGACTTTTTAGTATATCTTACAGTACGTTGTCTGTATGGAGTACGTTAACAAAGCATGGAATTAAAAAATCATTTTACCATCTAAGTGTATCTTTTCTGGATACTTATTTTTTTTTAGTTCAAAGTAATTTTTTGGTTCTTCTCAAAAGTTTTTATTTTTTTGGAGATATTTGCTTTTGAAGAAGACACTTTTTAGTATTTTTTATATTAAAATCATACCTTTGCTTTTGGTCCTAGTTAGTAGACCTATAATATAGTATTTATGATTTATGTAATGTCTTTGAAAAATCATGTTATTTTCTGTTGGGCAGTTACTCAAGCAGAGATTGTTTTAAGTTCAGAAGTTGATATCTACCATGATCAATTAAAGCAGCAATAGCCGATACTTTAGAACTTAAAACCATACCTGCTTGAGTAACTGCCCAACAGACAATAACATGATTTTTCATACACACAAAGAAAACGTCAATAAACAATAATAACATGAGTTTTCATACTAGTGGGGTCGGATAGCATAAAAAAATTTCAGTGCTGGCGGCGAATTTGAATTTTTGGATATGGATAGTACATATACCAAGCATCAAAAACGCCCCAGACCCCAAAATTTTGGAGGCCCCCACCACCGGTATGACGTCATTAAATCGGGGGCCAAAAAACGGCTTTTTTAGGCATATAAATACTTTTTTTTTCTTTGCAAAAACCCATTTTAATTTTATTTTTTATACTAAAACAGCTTATTTGAAAATATTTTCAACTGTTTTTAATTATATGGCGGCCATCTTGTTATATAAATGTCAAAATTTTGACATTTTATCTGAAATTTCGTGTTTGATATCAATTTATAGGTTTTTGGGGTCGACAAATTTAGTAATGATATTAAAATTTTAATACGATACATCTACAACTAGATGCTACCCCAAACAACCCCTCAAAATTTTTTTTTTATACATCCCTTCCCCAACACCCCCCTATGCACCAAACTTTATACTAAAATATAAACTTTTTATGTGTAAACTTTTATGTTCATAAACTATTTATGTTCATAATATTTTATATCATCAAACGTATGAATAAAAACGACTTGAAAATTAAAAATAAGTTAACATTCTAAATAAAAATAACATTTTAATAAAATAAGTTAATACACTCTATTAATCGTTTTCAGAACTATGTCCTTCACATGCTCACAGCTGTGTACACCGAAGACCGTTTTTTACACATTTACATGGTGAACACCGTTCTTTGCAGCTACAAGCGATTAGTTCCTCACAGCTTTTCACAACATCTGGAATGGTAGATCACAATGGCTGAAATCCGTCGTTAGTTTTTTGCCATCCCCAATTATCAGGCAATGGAGCTTGAAAGTATTTTTCCAAGCAGTTGTTCCATATAACGGCTTGTAGACTGGCTCGCTTGATATGTTGAATCAAAGCATTTTGCGTTGGAGGTATTTCTCAATTGCCCCATCTTTTATGAAAAGGAAACGTTTACACTCATTAACAGTACTCAAGGGTAATGTAGCATCATATAATAGAACCACAAATCTTTCCATAGTACGCAAAATATCTTCATCTGGATCTCTTCCCATAAGCAGTTGTTCAAAAGCCGAATTAACATTAGGATCTGCTATCCAAACCTTCCAAGCTCCTTTCTTGCCCACCCCACAGAATGATGACATATTATCGCAACCTGTTATAGAATGAAATATTGGTAGATCATATTAGTAGCAAGTCTCCTGTGAAAGCTGGGAACATAAGCTATGGATGCTAATTAATTTTTGATGTTTTCCAGTTCCAAAATCAATCCAGAGTTGTTGAATGTTTTTAATTACAATATCTGAATCCACTGCTCGAATGGTGACGATATACTTTGAGACAGACTTTATATACATTTGAAATAATTTATCATAGTGATAAGAATAAACCTAAAAAAATTCTGAGTCTAAAATTGAAACACTAACAAATAAAGTTAAACATTAATAAGATGGGTAAGCCATAAACGGACTGTTAGTAATATATCCATACACTCAGTAGGTACTAGATACATAAAAAATGGATCGACAAAATTCAAGATTTGTCAAAATCAGGCTGGGTATTTTTTACAGATTCATCCAAATAAAATTTTAATACCATCACTAAATTTTTTGACCCCAAAAACCTATAAATTGATATCAAACTCGAAATTTCAGAAAAAATGTCAAAATTTTGACATTTATGTAACAAAATGGCCGCCATATAATTAAAAACAGTTGAAAATATTTTCAAATAAATTATTTTAGTATAGAAAATAAAATTAAAATGGATTTTTACAAAAAAAATAGTATTTCTCTGCCTAAGAGCCGTTTTTTTGACCCTCCGCTTTAATGACGTCATACCAGTGGTGGGAGGTTGGTAAATTTTGAAATACTTTGGCAAAACTAAAATACATTGGTTTTGACTCTGTTGCTGGGGCTTGGTTTAGAAACTATATTTATGGACGCACTCAGAGAGTTAAAATTAATAATGCGTATTCTGAATTGGGAGAAACTTCTAGTGGCGATGGCGTACGGCAAGGCAGCATTTTGGGGCCTATATTGTTCTTGATTTATACTTTTGACTTGTCTAAAGCAGTTGAGCGGTGTCATATACACATGTATGCAGATGATGTCCAATTGTATCTAGACTGTTCCATTGAGGGGGCTCGGGACACTATAGATGTTCAACAACGACATTCGCATGTTCTCAGACTGGTGTAGTGAGCATGGATTGAGAATAAATTCAGCCAAAACTATGGCTCTTTGTACTGGCAATAAAAAAACTAACACATATGTTACGTCCAATTTAAATTTAAATATTGATAATGTTATACTTCAATGGACTAACAGTGCAAGGAGCCTGGGTGTCGATTTGGATAATGACTTGAGCTTTTCGAATCAGTGTAATAAAGTCTATCAAATGCCCATGTTTAAGCTCAAGAAACAACTTGACGAATTTACTAAACTACATCTAGTCAAAAGTCTGATTTATCCTCATATCGATTATTGCAGCCAAGTATATTATGCATTCTTACCCAAATATAATAAGCTAAAAATACAAAGAATCCAGAACGCCGGTATGAGATTTGTGTGCAATTCATCTTATCGAGATCATATTAGTCCTCACCTAAAACGTTTAAAGGAACCAGAAATGCGCGAAAGATTGGAATATTTGTATGTGATGTTATTATATAAAATATTTAAAAATAAAATCCCCATTTACTTAATAAAATTAATTATTAACAGATCTCAAATTCATAGTGTCAACATCAGAGTTAATTCTTTTACAGTCCCTCAGCACACTACATCAAAATATAAAAATTGTTTTTCCTATATGGCTCCTATCTTATTGAATAAATTTATAGATGACTTGAGTTTGCCTTTGGCACAGTTTAAAAGTAATGTACGATCTAAAATTGGGATGTCACCATATTTCAATTAATACCTTAGGTTTAGAATCTTAGTTTTAGTTTAATTTTTTTTAATGTAATATTTAGGTTAAGTCTAGAAAACATGTTTTTATTAATTTTCATAAGGTGGAGTGGAAGAATGGGTAACACCAAATCTCCAACCTTTTTGTGGAATGTGGATTAATTATTGCCTTCAATTTGTTATATGTTTGTACTTTCTTACATTTGCACAATAAACATTATTTATTATTATTTATTATTATTATTAATTTAAAAAGAGATACTAAAGAGCCAAATAATTTATCTACAAACTGCTTAAAAATCATCAAAATCGGCCCACTAGAACAAAATATATTAAACTTTAAAATACATAAACATTTTAAGGTGTCCGTTTTTCGTGACGGTGAGTGTATATTGCTTTTCACGTAACTTTTCACGTTGTTCGAGTTTCGTTATTTGACATCCTGTATGGTAACGATATACCTACTTAACAAAATTTAAAAATACTTAGGCATATATTTTTATACACTCAGATGCAACGGAGAATTTTTCGTCAGATTTAAAGTGTTATATTTTTTTATTTTTAGCTTTATTTTCATGATTTTTTTTCAGCAAACTGTATATAAATATATTAACTGTTAATTCGTAAATTTAGTTCTTTATAAACTTTAGTATTTGGATTATTATGCAGAGTTAATCGAGGAGATGTTTTTTACAACCCCTCGATTAACCCTCTATAATAAGCCAATACTAAAACTTATAAATCAGAGTTTGGGAATGAAAGTTGATATATTTATACAGATTGTTAACTGGACAGTTACTTATAGGGGAACAGAATGGCAACACTGCCTCTTGAGAACGCATGCACTTATAGGGTTGTCGGCTGACTCGTCCCGTCGCGTCGCGCGTCGTCTATCGACGAGCGGGCCGAGGTTGCCATATTTCAACCATAAAGCTCTTGCCGCGAGTAATAAACAAATCAACAACCTGTATATAGTTTGCTAAAAAATTGAGGAAAATGGGGCTAAAAATATTTTGCAAAGAAAATTTGCATCTGAGTGTATAAACTTTTTTAAATAATTAATTCAACGTAACTGAAAAAAAAATGGCGTTAGCGATGGCTTTCAAATTAAGATCGCTGTCATCTTATATCTAATATAAGTGAATGTGATTGATCATTGTTTCCAAGCCAACTAGACGCCGTTTTTTTCGGTTATACGTTTTCTTTTAATAAATTTGATATTTAAAAAATTATTGATATATTTTAAAAAATTCCAACTTTTATTGCTTTATCGTATTGAGTTTTACCACAGGTTATACTAAAAAAGTTACATGAAAATATAGCAAAAATTTTTAGATTGCAAAATTATGCATCTGTTTATTAAACATGTAGATTTGTCTAAGCATTTTAAGTTTATTATCAAATTTGTATTATTACTATTTTAGTAAATTAATGATATTATACTGTAATAATGTAATATACAGGGTGACCCATCGTTTCGAAAAAGCTCCATACAAATACGCGGGCAATGCAGATTATAAAATATTTTTTAAGGTGATATACAGGATGAGTCAAATGTAATTTGTGGCTTTTTAATTCGAATATGCCGCCTAACTTCAGAGAGAGAGGCATTTCGATTTTTTAAAATTTTTGTTAAGTTTTTTAATTTTGTTAAAATATTCAACCATATTTTTATACGAATGTTTCTCTAGAACGTTAGGGATATCAAAAAAAGTATAAACGAAATTAACAATTTTTGAACAAGCAAAAACTTTTATGAAGAATATATATTTTTTTTGAAATGTTCTTCAATCCGGGGAGGTGGATTATTTCGACCCCAGAAACAACAAAATATTTTTTTTTAATTTGATATTTTTTGAAAAGATTTTGGATTTTTTAAATTTTTAGTTAAAACAACTTAATATCTTGATAATATGGCAGCATAGATAGTGAATTAATTTTATAAGAAAGAAAGAAAAAAGTTTCTCAAAATTTAAGCCATTTTTTTTTACTCTTTGAAGTAATATAACTCGGTTATTTTGACCATATTTGAAAAACGGTAAAGAAAAAATAAGTCTCTTTTATCGAGATCTACCAACCCTGAAAATATTTGCACTCACTCTGTATAGGAAATGGTACTTTTTGAATACAGTGGGTCAACGTGTATAGGCATAGTGCATGCTGGGAGCTAAGATAGAAATAAGGGTAAACTACTAATATAGCTACATTTTTTAAATAGTGTAATATATACATTTAAATTGCAAAAAGTAGCCTAGGCGAGAGAAGAAAGATCACTGGTGTGTAATCCAAAACCACGTTTTCAGAGAATAGCAAACATTAATTTTATTTCAGAGACATTTTTATTTTTATTAGTTCATGAAATCTTTCAAACATATTGACATTAAACTGTGACTCTTTTAAACGATAATATTTGCTATAAACTTGTTAGAGAGCCCCAAAGAAAGTTACCAGGCATTAGATATTGCATGTTAACAGCCTCTTCGCGTTCCCTCTCTCCTCTTAAGCATACAGCCGATCCAGAAAACAAGATGGCGGCTACCAATGACCATCCAACTCCCGCCCAGGCTAACATGTATCCCCAATCGTAGAATATACGTGTTTGATCACGCAGTACCTGAAAAAGATTGCTACATATTAGCCAAGAAATACCGAATAATTAATTAAAAAAAATCTTCTCAAAATGCTTTGTATTTTAATGACCTTCAGCTTGAAATCGAACCAAACAGAGCAAAACACGATGAAACATCAAAATTTTGGAAAATTCCATTCCGAGGTGGTACGACCAAGTTTATATGCTTCATGCTGCCTAAAATTTTATGGTATTAAATGATGGTGGGATGAATGGAATAGGAACCTCGTATAACGGAGTTTAACTCGTCTTTGATTTTCGTAGCTATGCCGTTCAAAAATAAATATATTGTGATTGTTTGATGCACAAACCAAAATAAACACAATGGTATTTTTTTGGTTTTTGGAATGAAATTAATTTTTAAATTTTTATAGCCAAAAAGCAAAAACAAAAAGAAAATTGATAATTTTAATAATCTTTGTTGCCACTTCTAGCCCTTATACAAGCTTCTATACGCGACGGCATGCTTCTTATTAAATTATCAACGTTGTCTCTTTTGGGGTATGTTTTCCCATTCTGCTAATGCTGCATGAATAAGCTGTGCGAGATTTGTAGGATTGTTTCGACGAGCTCTAGCAGTTCTTTTGAGCTGGTTCCACAAGTGTTCGATAGGGTTTAGATCTGGTGAACATGCAGGTCAGTCCAAAACTATGACACCTTCTATTTCAAGACATCCTCTAGACACTCTGCTGGTATGGGGAGGTGCACAATCATACATGAAGTTAAAATTATTTCCAATTGCAGCTCTCCAAAGACAAACGATTGGTTCTACCACTAAATTAACATACCTCCGACCCGTTAAAATTTGTTGAAGTGGTAACAATGGAGTTTTTGATCCCAGCATAATACCTCCCCAGGACATTACAGTTCCTTCTTTATATCTTGGTACAGATTTAGCAGCCTAGAGTCTCGCTCGTCTTCCTGGAGCTCTGGGAATCCGAATTCGATGGTCATCTGATCCTAGGCCAATTCTGGTCCTATCCGAAAAAAGAACATTTTGACAATTCTCAGTTGTCCAGTTTTGATGTTGAAGGCATCAATTTAGCCGGTCAATTTTATTTTGCCGAGATAACTGTGGGATCCGTAACTCTCTCCTGCTGTAAAACCCTCGAGCACGAAGCCTTTTGCTTATGTTTCAACTGAAAGGTTTACACCTGTAGCTGTCAGAAGTTGTCTTTGTAGCTCTGGATGAGAAACATTGGGATTTATTTTACCTTGCATATGTTTTCGATGCACCACCCTGGGTAACGCCTACTATCTCTGCTACGTCTCTTTGGGGCATTCCTTCTTCAACGAGAACAATAATTCTTTCCCTCTGTATATCTGTTAATCCAACATAAGACATTTTTTATTTTTTGGATCTAATGAAAATTACCGGATACTCGTGTTTTTACTACTGAACACAAAATTCAAAAGAAAATAAATTGCAGCACTCAGCTCTCGAATGCCGGTTGCGGGAGTCCAACCCACAATCATTAGATTGGAACTTATGAAAGTTTGGGACTTATGGATTATAAAAAGGGACAGAATATCCCAAAAATGCCGTAGATTTGAATTGGTCCTAAATTGATTCGGTATTTCTTGGAATTGTGTGTTAGTTACAATGGCGATTAGATTATTAGCTGTTAAAAATGATATTTTTGTTATTTCCTGACCTGGCACAATATATTGGACATTATCCAATTGTTCTCTGTCTTTTTCGGCTTGTAAACAGCAAGATCCAAAAAAGAATAATAATGACCCACCCAGACATGAAAAAACTCCTAGCCAACCGAGGGCAAAACCCCAGTCGTAGTAAATTGTTGCGTTATCCTGTAGAAGCTAAAAGAGGGAAGAAATGTATTATTAAAATATAAGAGCATTTAGTTAATTCTATTTTAAAAAGCAGTGTTTTCCATAATTAAACTTTAATTTACTTGATAACATATACATCTATCTAAAATAATAAGTAATTTTTCTTTACCATTATTTTTTAAATTTAGTATATTTTTTTTAAAGTAGTAGTTTTAGTATAGTAGATTTTAAATTAAAAATCTTTGAGAAACTTCAAACAAATAATTTTTCGTATCTCATTTAAGAGATATAGAGGTATTAAATTTTTACCAAGTGTGAATCTAGAGTATAGGAGAAATAGAAAACTACTCCTTTAATTGGTAAAATATTTACTAAAAGTAAAATAATATCAAATTACTGATCTCACCTAATTTATATTAATTTCCGAAATTAATTAAATTGAATTCATACAATATATATGTAGGTAAAAGGCATGTGAAAGAATAAGTGTAAATTGGGAGTCAAAAAACTAAAAATGAGAAAAATATGAAACAAACAGCAAAAATAAAATATCAAATCTTTGTATAGTTGTACAATATAAAAAGCAAAATAAACAATATAAAATACTTATAATATACATTCTAAAATTTTTGATTTTCTTGGGATTTAGGTTCGGGAAAAATTCTGATTGAGTTTTCATTTGGTTGTTGTTTTTTCATTATTTCAGATTTGTTTCAGATTTCTCCTTTTTTATATAATCGAAATGTTTTTGGACACGGTAATATTATTATGATTTATATATTTATTTTATTTTATAGGCAAATATGAATAAACTTTAGTGTATTATAAAACACTGTATTTCAGTATTAAATATATCTTTAACATATAAAATGAAAACAGTGTTTGTGCATTTTTATAACTTCCTTCCATAGGTAGAGGAGCTATAAATAATTTGCATGAAAAATTTAGAGGGAAAATTGATTTAATTATATTATTGGATTACTTACAGTACTCCACTGCTGATAAAATTCTTCACCAACTTGTTTTTCTTTCTCATAATATTCTACGCCATGCCAGAGTCCCATTGCACCTGCGCTTAGCAAACCTGAAATAATGTAAAAATATTATTAGGGTAGTTTACTTATTAATTAAAAAATGACGCAAGCTAAAATTATATTGCATTAAAAGGGGTAGGTTAGGTTAGGTTACGTTGCTGGGGTTTGAGGTCATGTTTGATCCCTCACTCGGAGGCCTTGGGCCCATTGCGATACCCCTGTATTGTCTCATTCTTTCTTTGCGTTAAAGCACTTCCAGCTCTTTGCAAAGTTCCCGATGTCGCTGATGTTGGCTTCTGCTGCTTCCTCTAGTCCCTCCAAAAAACCATGCCCTAAAATTTTAAAGCGTCGGACAGCGGCACAGCCGGCACCGGCCAGTGCCGGACAGCGTAGGTACTCTATCCGAACGAAGTGTAAATAAATTTTCACTTTAATTAAGAATTAACAAAAAATAAGTATAATAATAATGATATAAAAAATAAACATTTTTGGATACAATTTTTGATTATTAAATAACGTCTATATGTATGTCGTAGGCCGTAGGCGTATCGAATAAAGGCGCGATTCTCACTATCACGTACCATCACCGTCACGTCGAACTACCGAGCCGCGCCGCGCCGTCTCAACCATGAAGTAAATGGTTGCCATTTACTTCATTCGCGCGGCGACGGTTACGGGTGGTGTGAATAAGGTGAGAATATGTTCATTGTTGACTTCGTAAGAATATTTATTCTTGTGGCCGTCGGCTCGACGCGACGTGACGGTGGCGGTACATTATACTGAGAATCGCGCTTAATTCGGCATTTTGCAAAAATACTAGGTACATAATAAAAAGCTGACATTTTAAACCAAAAAATGGAAATTTTATAATGAGCCTGAGATCTATTTTCCATTTCTTTGCAAAATGCCTAATCAGAATTAGGTCCGCATTCATTCTCATTGCAGCCATTCGCACCATTGCTAACTAATACTTGCTAATACTAAATAAATTTGAACTAATCCTTTTCTTTCGCTAACATTTCCACCGTTCGCACTCTTTACACTTCCAGCATTTTTACCAATAACGTATATCCACTGCAAATGCGGGTCTACACATGAGAAAGACTTCCACGTGAATGCGAAAGAATGGTAACATTTGAATGCGATAGACAATGATTCAGTATTAAAACTAAAATTATTTCGGACTTCTAATGTCTATTTATTTTGCTTACACAAGATTTATAACGATAATAAAATCTTTAGCAATCCAAGTACAGTACGTCTGTTCGTTCTGTAGCTACGGAGTATCTGTGAGAGGGGAAACGATATTCTCTCGATGTTTTTCGTAAAAAATTAGACGACGCGTCCCATCAATAAAAATTAGACAAATTTGCAAGTAGCCAATAAAATGAGTGGGCGGAGCGATTTGCGGTGACGTACTCGTCAAGTCAACGTATAAAATATATTGCTGTTTATTTAAATGTTTTTTGTCCGCATTCCTTTCATAGACACAGATCCAGCAGATGGACTGTATGGAAATTTCAACAATATGGTAACCACTCATAAAGCGCTCTATGCAGGTATTCTTAATGGAGAACCTCATGCTTGACTTATCACCCAACCATTTCAAGGGTCTCGTATATAAGCTCGGATCTAGTATATAAGCTCAGTAGTTTTAGGATTGAGTTTAGTTCACACTTGATAACGGTCAGTGATGCTTCTGACCGAAACGTTGTGTAAGCAAAATAAATAAAGACAATGGAAGTCCGAAATTCTATTAGTTTTAACAATGATAACATTCGTCAGAACGAGTAAAAAACCACTGTACTAATTTAACGAGTAAAAACCTTGACTGTCACTGACAAGCTTGTTTCCGTTTGGATTCTACCAAAATTCTACGCAGTGCTAGTGGTGTTTACAAAGAAATATATACTCTTTTATTTTATAAATTTCTCTTTAGTTACTTTGACTAATTCTATATCTACTGACTAACCAAAATAACAAAATAACAGAAAACAAAATATAGAGCCATTTTCTGAGTTATTTTTGTTATTGTTTTTTATATTATGGACATAATTCCAGTTTGTCAATGTAGGTCTGATAATGGGGAATAGCAAATTAGCAATATGTTATATTTACCAGAGCAATTACGTGCATAAAGCTGGTGCAGATTCTGCATGTTTAAACCGTAATTTCACATTTAAACCAGCTGTTTTATATAGATAGTTATCAGCTGGTTGGTATACTTGGAGCACTTAAGTGACAGAAAATTACCTACTTAATAAGAGACTTACTTTTAATTAACAAATAATATGATACTTTAATAATTCTGTGGTATTTTAATTTCGATAATACCTACGTCTAGAAATTAATGTAAGCAAATTTTGTATATTGCGAGTAAAGGACAAAACAGAAGCAAACAAAAAATATTAAATAGTTAAAATCCTCTACTGAGGGGCAGGAGACTCAAACTCACAGTCTAGTATAATTTTTTTTTTAATTTTTACGGTATCCATATTAGCGACACTTTGTTCCTATATCCAAATATATTGAGTAGTTTCCTATAATGGATAATCGTCATAGACGTGCTTTTCGTTGCCTCAAGTGCTTTCAACGCGACTTGACTATCCGAATATATGTTGATTGTATTCCCGGTGTATTGGTGTTCTACCTGCAGTTGCACACATGTTTCAATAGCATCTAGCTTAGCTTAGAAAATTGTACTGTATTTTCCAAGACTGTGGTAGATCTGAATCTTTGGACTGCTGCAGTAAATTCCTGCGCCAGATCCTGTTTCGATCTTAGATCCGTCCGTGTACCAACACATTTCCGCATGTAACAAACCGTTTCTCGGCTTATCCCATTCGTCCCTATTCGGAAACAGGACGTTGTAGGTGCGTGTCAAGTGTTGGACCATTCCCAGAATCTCATCCGACTATAGTTCGTCTACTAGTTGGTTTTGTATGAACTTGATTGTTTCTTGGTATTCTCGTACCATATTTAGAAACCTATATAGCTCATCTCGTCTCTCTTTTCAAAAGAATTTGAAGAGGAGGTAAGTCGTGTAGGGTTTCCATAGCTTCTGAGGGCGTGGAATGAAAGGCACGAGTCACCGCTAAAACATGCTTGTCGTTGTAAGCCAAAGTAGTTAAAATAATCAGTAAGTGTGGTGCTGAAAACTATGAATTTCTAAAAAGTCTGCTATTAGTTTTGTGAAGGGTACACAAACGCATTTCAAATACATCTGAAAGTCAACCTTAAAGGTCGTTTAAGGTCTCACAACAAGGTTCTTTCTGGAATCACTCAAGGAGGTTTGAAAGCCACATATGTCAAGGTCAAGCGAACTGCGCATGTGGAGGAGCCCAATCGGCTAATATCTCCTACTTCTATCCCTTCGTATGGCCACCGGTAAATTAATATCCCACCATTATAAGAACGGACGGATGTACTACTAATATCTGCAATGCTGAAGTATTTCTTTTTTATTTATTTTTATTTTTCAAAATCTGTAGTACAGGCTGAGCCAAATTGGACACTTTTAAAGGAATACACTCTTTTCTGTCGGAGATAGACGAAAACTAATTCGGTGTCTGGAGCTCAATTTTTATCAAAAACATGATGGTAAAAACCCTATATCGATATATTATGTTTCCGTTTTGGAGGTTTCTCAAAAATGTGCATTTTTATAAAACCGCTGTAACTATTTTGCAATGAGAAATTTTGTATTTTTATGAAAACATTTCCAAAGCACTTTTTTACGTAGAATTTAAAGGTATAAGTATATTTTTTTTTAATTTAGTAATTTGAGAGTTATCAATAGAAAATTTGATTTTTATAGGGGACACCCTCTATATTTTTAATCCATTGAAAAGAACTTAAAATTACCTTTCCAAAAATATAACATACTTGATATTTTGCTCGATTCCTCTTCGAGATATAGAGTTTTTAAAAATTCGCCCATTTCGAATAAGTAGGGTTTGAACGACGGCAGCTGTAATACAAAAAAATTCTAGCAGCAGTTGAAACGAAAATAATATTTGCAATGAGAGATGCAGAACTTCTAAAAGTACTTCTAATTCTTGCCTAGATTATACGGGCAATTTAAAAATAAGAACCTTCTTCCGCAAAGATAAAAATCCATTGGTGCAAGTCCAACGAACGGCCTCGACGCCTGGGATCTTGCTAGTTATTCAATGATTTTCGAAATTGGTTGCAAAAAATTGCTGATAACTCCAGCGTTATGGGGCGGTGCCTCGTATTGCTGGAAAATAGATTTTCGAGTTCCATTAGGGGCCGATCATCCGTAAGGGGTCCAAAGTCTATTAGTTAAAAGTGGCTTTTAAAAACTTTTAAAAAGTCGAAGGGGACTATAACAAAATATCAAGTGTGCTATATTTTTGGACAGGTAATTTTAAGTTCTTTAGAGTTAATAAAAAATATACAGGGTGACCTAAATAAAAAATTACTTTTTCTCTGATAATTCTTAAATTAGTTAGTTTATAATTAAATTAGTAATTTTAAAAAATATACTTAAACCATTAAATTATACGCAAAAGGTGCTTTGAAAATGTTTTCATAAAAACATAAAATTTTTCGTAGCAAAAGAGTTACAGCGATTATAGTTGTTATAAATGCATATTTCTGAAAAAAAAAATCGTAACTCCGAAACGGTAACAGATATCGATGTGCGGTTTTTACCACTATGCTTATGATAAAAATTGAGCTCCAGACACCGATATTAGTTTTCGTCTATCTTTTATAGAAAATGATGTTTCCCTTTAAAAGTGTTCAATTTGACCCACCCTCTACACGCTCCCCCCACCAGTAAAAGAGCATACACCGTAATATAACCTCTTTTTCTTTTTAGCATCTAATTTTCACAATACCATAATGGGTGCCCACGATCCACGATGCTCGAGTAAATGCTCATTTAGTATCTTGGGCTCCGCTACATAGAGACAAGAGACGTGGTTTGGTTTTTCGGTGCCAAACTAATATATGATATATATCTACATTGTAGATATCTTGGTTTGGTTAGGAATAAAAAACAAATAAAAAAAAATACATTAATTTACAACTAAAACTTAAATCATTCATGATCAAGAATATTTCTATTGCATAATCAGAGATCAGAAGAATTTGAATTAAAATATAAAACTAAGAAAAATAATCAAAATAATCAATGACAGTGTTTAATTCCAATATTGCAGCGGTAATGACCTAAGTTTAAATCGATACCAAATTAAAAGAAATCATTTTAATTTATTTCGGTTGCACCTTAATGAATTACTTTGCAAATAAAACAAAGGATTTACCGTTAACAAATTACGATTTGCATAGTTATTTGACTGTTGCAATTAAAGCATTAAATTGATTGTTTATGTGTGTCTGTGCACGTGACTTTACTTTTCTGTTAACATTGACATCAAAAATCAAGAAAATTGTTCCAGTTTTTAATAAAAGTGTACTACTAGTACTAGACAAGGCTACTGGTGCTACCGTTAATTGTGATTGAGTGATATTGTGCCTATACCATTGCCGTTATTATAAGCAATCCCGCAATTATTTATTGTACTTAAATTGCCTTATGAACTAATTTCAGTTTAATAACATAAACTAACACTACACAATCAATGCAGCATTGACATTTCTCTTATTAAAAAATATACAGGTGTTCGAAAAGCAAAGAAATTAATAATATGATGAATAAATAGCAAAAAAAAAATATTTGTTTCTAAATTATAGCACAACCATAATTTATATTCAAGCAATGCTTTTGATAATATGGAAATCACTGCTAGGATGCTTTTGAAAACTTATAAATTTTGAATATATCATCAACCAGCCTGAAGTGTCCACTGCAGGCCCCCTCAAATCTTTCCACTCTTCTCGCCGGTCCTGTGCCACTTGGATCCAGTTTCCTCTAAATCTCTTTAAGCCATCTGACCATCTTATCGGAGGTCTGCCTCTGCTTCTGAGAGCATCCTGTCTTGGCCGCCATTCTAGTATTAGCCTGGTCCACCTATTGTCCGCTGTTCTGACAATATGTACAGCTCAGTTCCGTTTCTGTTTTTTAAGCAGATAAATAGAATCTGCTATTCGTGTACGCTGTTTTATAACTGAATTGGGTATCTTGTCTCTTAGAGATATACCAAGCATTGCTCTTTCCCTACCTTGTTGGGCTACACGGACTTTTTCTATGGACTTTTTCGTCAGTGTAAGTGTCTCTGCGCCATATGTAAGTACTGGCATAACGCGCTGATGAAACATCTCCCTGTTTAGGCACATTGGTAGATCTGATTTTAACTTTAACACATATCTTTTTTGAATAATTTATGGGCAGTCCAATTTCATCTGACGCCCATTTAAGTGTTTCTAGCATATTTTGTGCTTCGTGTATTTTGTCTGTAATCAGAGAAAATACACGAAGTCTTCGGAAAATGTAAGTTATTAAGCATTTTCCCGTTAATATTAATACCCATTTCCTACCAGTTTAGTCTTTTGAACATAGGTATATTCTAATAGTGCGATGAACAATTTGGGGGAAATGGTATCGCCTTGTCGTACTCCTCTTTTAATACGGAATTTGTTTGTGTTTTCATATAGCGATACAGATGCTGTTGCATGGTCGTATATACCATATTCGGCTAGGGCCTTGAATAATTTGTGTTGATCGATAAAGTCGAATGTCTTTTTGTAGTCGATAAATATTAAAATTATGGGTTTATTATACTCAAACACATTTTTCTATTAGGATCTTCACTACCAACAGATGGTCCTTTATACCGAAGTTCGATCTAAATCCAACCTGTTATTTTGGTTGGTATTGTTCTAGTTTTAGGGAGAGACGATTTGTGAGGATTTTTGTGAATAATTTGTACGTGTGGCTCAGTAAACTAATAGGCCGATAGTTGGTGAAGTTCGTTTTGTTCCGGATTATTATGTAATAGAATTCTATTGGCATTATCCCATTCTGATAGCGTTCTTTTTTCGACCCTTTTTTCGACATTTGTTGAATAATATTTGCAAGGCCTCTAGAACCTTTTATCCTCCTTCTTTGATGGCTTCAATAGCTATACTGTAGTCACCGGGAGACCTATTGTTTTTCATAAAGTTTAGTGACGCCGATATTTCATCTAAAGCAATGTCTGGGATATCTTCTGGGCCCTAATTCATCACAGTTGGTATGGTAGTATACGAGTTTCTAAGGTTTGGATTGTCATATAACTGCTGGTAGAAATTTTCCGTAACACGTAGAATATATGGTCTATTTGATGTTATCTGTCCTACTGTGTTTTGCTAATTATGAATTTGTACTTTCCCTATGCTTGCCTCTTTTTTGAACACTTTTAATCCTTGACTTCTCTCAATGAGGCGTTATTTTGTGAGGATTATTTTACATTGGTTCTGATGTCTTTCTTTATCTCTTTTGATATCTGTTTGTTAAGTTTCTTGTAACCATCTGAGTGTTTGTTTGTCATAACTCTACGCTGTTTTATCAGATCTGTAGTCTTTTGGGTTAGTTTTGTGTTGCCCTGATTATCTTTTTAGGACCATTTTCTTTAATAGCTGGCGTTAAAATAGTTACAATGATGATCCTCATTTACATCTTCATTCTCCATATCTGAATACATGACTGTTAAAATTAACAAAAAAGGATATGAAAGAGCTTACATAATGGTAAGTTATGGAGAGAAGGGTCGGGAGCCTACCTCTAGCCCAACAAGCGACTCAAGATACCGTTTCGTCTAACCGGGTTAACCAGACGGGCTAGACGATCCGCTGAGAGTAGGTCTTAGCGGACTTACATAGGACTTGTTAAAAAGAATAACCGCTATACCTTCGTAGGAGGTAGAACACCAGAGAAGGATGGGAAATACCCTGTTCCCCCTACAATAGGAAGATCCTCATTTATAATGTGGCATAAGTCAAGAAAGGGAGACACAATAGATCTTTAAGATCGCGGTGATTAACCCCTTCCACTCATTCTACATTTTACAAGATGGAGAGAAATCTGAATTGAAAAAGACGAAAATTCACAATTTTTCTCAGCCGTCTGTCTTTTTGTCACTTCTCCATGACATTTTGTTAGTTTAGGTATCTACTGTTGTTGAATGAAAGGTATCGAAAGTATACTTACATGCTAGTAACATTAAAATTGCTGTCGCTGTTATGTTTCCTGGAGATCTTCTCCAACATCCCGTAACTCCGGTACAAAAAGCAGCAAATACGGAGAAAAATGAAATAATGAAAAGAGCTATCATTGATCTACCCATATCTGCAAAAAAAATATTCTTTTCATAATATTCTTTAAAAAAAATAAAGTAGTCTTTTTCAAGTATACAGAAAGTGTACATAGATACATAAAAAAGTAATTAAAAAAAATATAGGATATTGTATTTTTGAATTATTAGTGGGAAACCCAATAATAATTAATAATAATATAATATAAATATAAATATCATGAAAATACTTACGTAACCTTGTCCAAGCATCATCGGTAAAATCTTTGGTTTCATTGTTTTCATCGGGAATGTAATAATTAATGTTTGTACAATAGGTTTCCACGGGACTGAGATATAATTTTACTGTAAAAAAACAGATTAATAATAAAAGTATAAATATTAATTTTAAATTAAGTAATTATTACTAATAAATTTTAATCTGAGTATAATTACGAAAATTTTGTATTATTGAGTTTTCGAACAATTTTTTTTTTGGAATCACATATACACAATAGCAAATAAAAATAATGATTTTAATACATGTCATGTGATAACAGTCAACGCGGCAATATGAATATAAATAATTAAAATAAAATGTACTTAGTAAAATAAGTACAAATACACCCAGTAATTAATGAGGAAATTGCCAAAAACACAAACCATCCCCCTTTAGAACATTTTCTGAAATGGAAATTATTGGAAGTAAAACCTATACTGTGTTAATATGTCAATATTTTTATTTCGTTGTGTTTTGTGAATATTCGGTGTATGATTTTGGCAATTTCCTCATTAAATACTGGTGTATTTGTACTTCTTTTACCCAGTACATTTTATTTTAATTATTCATATTTAATTGCAATGGCTTATTTCGACCGAGAACGCAAACCTGCGAAGAAGAACGGTAGCGTTCCTAATTGCGACAACAAAAATTGCAGTTTTATTCGTTTTCTAAATCCCCGGAGAGATTCAAATTATAAAAGGCTAGGAATTTTTACACAAATGCAGAAAAAAATTAAAGATACAGGATCATACTATATCGGTATTGTAGTACATTTTTAGACAACTTCTTTATTTTTAAGACGTTGATGGTCAAACATCAACAAAATATTCCTTATGTTCGGACTAAATTTTCTCGAAAATAAAGATATCATTTAAAATTTCGTTAGAATACGGAAATAGATTGGAAGTTTTGTGATTACAGTAATATATAATTTATATGGTTTTGAACAAACTGCTCGCTATTTTATGGCAAATGATGAAGCTCTGCAAACCTTAATCAAAGCACGTGTGTTTAAAATTTTGGATGTGGCTTACCACGACAGAATCGGGCTGAGCCTTAGGCAGATTTCTGAAATATAATATATATTTCCTTCGGCCACACATCCGCTTTATCCGACCCCTGGGAGCGACCCGAACAGTACAGTGTAATAGCACATGTGTTATCTGTGGTAATAGTCTTTTCTAAAAAGACTTAAACCTTTTTCAATTTCGGAATCAAGATTTAAATCACAAATAATTAAAAAAAACTGAAATTTTAAGTCTTAAGTCAGCTTTCGAAAAATGATTTAAATCATTAAAATGATTTAAATAAAAAAAAAGTCTTAAGCTCTATGAGCTTGCTCTGAGTACTAACATAATTTGATCAACGCATGAAAAATAAAGACATTTTCTTTATCAAGAAAAAAACATAGGATATAAATGTGTTAAATGAGTTTGAGGTGGATTCTGCGATAAAAAAAACTCGTTGTTTTTTCATGGCAAAAGAAAATAATAATGTTTTTGGCTGCAATAAGGAATAAGGTACAAAAAATACTAAAATAAAACAGTAAGGCTTTCAAAATGGCAATGCAAATTAGAGATTTGCCACACCAACTGTTTTTATGACATTAACCTTTGTAAAATCCCGTTGATTATATCTTAAATACATTTACTTTTACCTGTTCTTAACCCTTACTTTATCCCTTAAAAGTTGAACCTGATTCCAGTGGCGGAGCAAGGCGGGGGCGGAGTGGGCGGGCCGCCCCAGGCGGCGACCTTCCAAGTACCTAGGGGGCGACAAAAAATTGTTATAAAGACGGCGCGGCGGACTAATCCTGTAGGGGAGGCAAACCTCTCTCCTAGAAGCTCTCCGCCCCGGGCGCCCTTAACCCATGCTACGCCACTGCCTGATTCAAAACGTGGTTATATCACGTTTTTGTGATTAGGTCAGTTAGGTTCTTTACACCTCTTACAAGAGAGGGATCAGGTAGAGATATTTCTCTACCTGATCCCTCTAGCCTAAGTAAGCCTCACGTTTTACTACTGTTTGTGTACAAATTGTTCGGACTACACCTGTAATTTCGTTCAACAAGAAAACCTTCACAGATGTCCCATTTAGTTTTATAATGTCAACAGTTTTGGGGGATTCTGCAGTACAATCGTTCTTTGCCACTTTCACCTTCACCACTCCCAGATTATTTAGTTCCTTTACGTGACCTTCAAATTTTAAGGAACCATATACGAAATATTTTAATAATTCATCAATTAATTAATTCTTTTGTTTCAAACATTACATTCCATTATCAAAGTAGTAAATTATCTTGTGTATTTTGTCAAAGACATTAATTAACTAATGTAACTTCCGTAACAACTCATTATTGCATTACATTTGCTACCTACTTAAAAATAATCAAAATAAGTTATAATCAAACTTAAAATTTAAAATATGAAATTTATATAGCTGGAAATTCCTTAGCATTATTAAACGCAATGGGATCAGTAGTGTGAAAAGTGTTCACGCGATTAACTATTCTGAACTCAGCTATTGGTTGTTCACATAAACTTGAGTTGAACCGATTTACTGAAAAAATTCTTAGAGCGTTTTCTAATAACATTTCTTTGTCTGTTTTGACATTTGAATGAACTATTTCAAATTTTTATTATACCGGGTGCTTCTCAAAAGTGGCTCACTCCTACAACTTTTTTTATTTTTTCAGATGAAAAAACGAGATTTGGTATGTTAGTATATGACAGAAATTAGAATTGACTGACGTATTCAATTGTTTTCGGTCACTTCCTGTTTTACCAGAAATTACTACAACTTTTGATTTTTAAATGGCACCCTGGGTATTTTTTTACTTTATTTAATAGAAAATGACATTCCGATTAGAATGCCATATCATATGTCAACTTTTGACATTTTCGCTTAATAAAAAATTGTATTTTAAGTTTCAATGTAGAGTGCCATGGCTATGTTAAAAACACTAATTTTTAATCAAGAAGCCTTGCAAAAATAGATTTGATCGTCTAATGTTTTTAGTGTCTTATCCTGGCCGGTTAAAAGACGCCCGAATCGTATTTTTAATCATATCTCAATTTTTTCAAATGGAACGAGGGTCGCTCATTAGCATATTTGGAAAAAGCAATTTGATACCACACACTTGGTATTTCGACTCAAATTGTCGTTATGAACCCCATGTTACAATTTAAAATAAACCATATTCGAAAATGTCAAAAGTTGACATATAATATGTCATTTTATTCAGAGTGTCGTTTTCTATCGAATAATATATCGGTATAAAAATATACCAATGATGCAGCAATGGTGCCATTTAAAAATCAAAAGTTGTAGTCATTTCCGGCGATAGAGGAAGTGACCGAAAACAATTGAATACGTCAATCAATCCTAATTTATGTCATATATTAATATACCAAATCTCGTTTTTTAACTGAAAAAATAAAAAAAAGTTATAGGGGTGAGCCACTTTTGAGACGCACCCGGTATACCAAGGGTGCGCCACCCTGTATATTGTGTTGAAGCAAAGAATATTTAGCGATTCTTTGAATGTCGTAGACGATTTAAAAGAGTAAAAAAGATTCAGATATTCTGTTTTTGTAGTTGTAATGCTTCCATAAAACTGTATTATTATATTATTTTTCGTTCTTAAGACTATAAATAAAAAGTATCAATATATATTTTATTTTTAACAAGAAAAAAAAATTTTGAAACACCCTGTACAAGACTTAAAATAGTAAAAAAACGAATCGATGGAATGCAAATAATGGTAATAATAATTCATCTAATTTAAATGTCGATGTATGTATATCACGAATTTTCTCACAAAAATGTTTCGTTATTAAAATTAATTATTGTTGTATTCTAAATACCTCTTTGATATTTTCACAATTTAATTTAACATACAATAGATCACTTAGAAAACTGTAAGAGAAATTTTCCCAGCGAGCAAATAATGTAAGACAAATTTACTTATCAGATTCTACGAATGATGGCTATTTCTACAAAGCTATTTACGAAATATCTTACATTTTACAGTCTTAATAGTTCTAGATTAGTTTATTAAGAAACATTAGTTTTTATTGCAACGGGGAAAATTATAGCAGTGTTTATAGCACAGTTTAGTATAGTACTTTAAAAAGTGCATAAAGAGGAAATGATGCAAATTGATTATTTCGATATGTAGGTAATCAAAAATATTTTAAATTAATGTTTTATTACTAATATAATAAAAATGCTTAATATGCGATTCTAACGATGTACAACAAATTAAGCATAGTGGAATTTAAACGTCAATAATTTGTAAAGGTCATTTTTTCAAGAAAGATGCGACATGTTTCAACTTTATTACAGATTTGACAGAAATAGTACAAGAACATGAGAAGTATATTTACAAACGTATCCAGAAAGATGTTTGATATATCCAGAATGATGTATGGGGAAATCCTCATGGATGATATAAGTTATAACTTTGTCGTTAATGGGAAGCTCCGAGTCAAGTGCTAGGGGGAATTCCCTCTGGCACTTTGGCGGGGTCTAAGGAACATCTCACTGTCTTGTGCTTACCTTAAGGAATTGCACCAAGACGTATAACGACACCGGATGGAAATATCCTGTGCTGACGCACAGGGTATGACGCACGAGGGTGCCCTGGCATGACTGCCAGGGCACCCTCTACTGTATGTGGTCATGTCTCACGGTTACCACAGATTCGTCCGGGCGGTTAAGCCAAGGCCAAGGCTTCACCGCCCGGACCAAGAGGAGACAACCTCACCAAAAATGTAAATCCTCCGATGGCGGAACCAGGTGAATGGGATGCGTAGCTAGACAGGAGACTAGCTCAATGCTAGTTGACTGGTCTCAACTAGCTGACTGGTGTCAATCTTTGGGACTCCATCAAGTACAAAAAACACTACCGGTGAAGCTGTGGGAGCTTGGGAACCTCCTAGCAACACTGGGATTGATAATGATATCAATGCAAGTTCCAAGAGACCAATACGAAAAGAAACTACAAGAGAGGTAGCTGACACTTGCGCGAGACCAGCCTCCACAAGTCGCACACAAGCTATCACTTCCTCTAGTAAGGGTCGGAAGCCTAACCTAACCACTAAAGGTTCTCATCTGTTCCAGCAAAGGGAGATAAAAGTCAGGACACCAGCTTTGCCGCTATTGTTGGACAAGTTAAAATGGCGGCGCTGCCAGAGGTTGCACTGACCACCGACTAGCAAATGGCTCTAGAAGAGGAGATACTGGACGAAGTAGTAGCTAACGGAGACAACGCAACGATCTGCAAAATGTGGTTGGGTTGAGCTGCGTTTTGCGTGGATATACTTTTGGATGGGCATAGATTGTGTATCCCAAGAATCGGCGGATTGGTTAGTGGAAACGGCACCTAAGCTAAAAAATTAGCAGGGGCCGAGACTGGTTGTAGAGAAGGAAGAAAACATCCAAAAAGGGAAATCATCATAGTCTTTCTGCCGAGGAGCAAGGGAAAAAACACCATCTACCTGCTCAGCCTTTATCCAGGCTCAGAACTCCAATGTAAGGACATCGAGTTGGCGAGTCATGAATTCGAGGGAGGAGGGTCATGGTCAGGTCTTCACAATAAGAAATGACCTCAAATACAAAGAGGCAATAGAGACAGAGAATCTTCTGTTATAGATTCGGGACAACACCGGTATCAGGTCTAAGGAGAGATCAAGTTAAAGAGGTGGCGAAAATGGAAATAGATCCTCCAGCCTCCACTTCAAGGGTATCTCAGCTGGAGACAAGCTTATCGACTGTACGGATGGCCAAACCGCAAGGTGGAAGGGTGTTTACCCTAGAAGAAAGAAAATAGGTTGTCAGAGGGGGATAGGAAACACTCTGTATCCCTACAACAGAAATCCTCATGGATGATAAGTTATAACTCATGGATCACATAATAGAACAGAAAACAAGACAGAATATTATTTAAAAACGTTTGGTAAAGTTTGTGATTTTTAAAAACCAACGAAGATACATCAAAACTAGAATAGACATTAAGTAGATCATCTCTTAATTTATGGTAAAATTATACTAAGTGTTCTAAGCCCTCTTCCTGAATGCATAATCGTGCTCATCTTTTCGAAGCAGCTCGAAACTGCTTTATAATACTACCTTACGTTTTCCACTGTTTGATAATATTTCTGTCAATGCACTCTATTTTTCGAGGTGTCCCACAGAAATGTGTCCAAAACAGTAAGGTCAACAGACCTCCCTGGTCATTTGAAAGATTCTCCCATCCATATATTATGTTGGAATTTTTTATTTAAAAGGCAGTAACTGCTTCAGTGTTGTGTGGGGGAGCCCAGTCGTCGCGTCCGTCGTGCTGAAACCAATACCTGGTAAAATGTGCTAGTGCTAATCGTCCCGGTATTTTTCAAATCGGATTGTCAAAAACTGCAGAAATGTTGCTACAGTTAAATGTTGAATTGAAGAGATGAGATCCTAATAACTGATCACCGTAAATGACATTTAAGCTGAAACGAAGTTAAGGTATAACTTCCCTTGCAGTGCTTGGAATTATTTGCGCTCCAAATATGTCCATTGTGTCTATTGAACACAACACAATTTGTAAAAGTGCTTTCATTAGTTCCAATAATATTTTGTAACCAACCGGGAAACTCGTTAGTTTTATTTGTGAGCCACTGGCAATATTTGAGCCTCCTCTCATGATCTCCGTGGTGTAGTCTTTATGAAATATGTATTTTATAACATTTCAAGTCCATTCGCCTACATTCCCTCCAAACACCCATCGGCGAAACATTAACCTTGTTCTGGCGTTATTTTTGTCAAATCTGTAATAATGTTTGAACATGTTGCGTTCTTCTTTCAAACAACCAAAACCGCCTATTGAAACAACGATTTTCACCCAAACCAAACCAAATTATTGACATCTAAAAGCCAACTGTGCAAATTTGTTTCGTGTGCATCGTTAAAATCGCAATGAATTTATCTATTTAGATGTGATCTAAATACTGTTATATAGCTAGAAAAAGTGACAATTAAAATGTGCTTTTAGTTTTGAGATATCTTGTCACGCCAGAAAAAAATAGAATGGAAATATTCAACTTTTAGTTTTTCCCGAATATCTTCGGAAGTACATACTTGAAAAATAAAAATATATCTAAACGGCATATTATTATACAGGGTGTCCCAGAAACAAATACAAGTATTTTAAGGGGTGCTAGATCTCTATAAAAGAAACATATTTTTTATCGTTTTTCAAATAAGACCAAAATAACGAAGTTATTTTACTTTGAAAATTAAAAAAAAAAGATTTTTTACTAAAATTTTGACAACCACCGGATCTTTTCTGGATTTTCTTTCTTGTAACTTTAAACTAATATCTATGTTGCCATATTATCAAGAAATTATGGTTTTTAATTAAAAACTAAAGAAAATCCAAAAAATTTTCATAAAATTTCGAATTTTCAAAAATTCTTTTTCGCAAAAAAACCTCATAGGCGTGTTTCTGGGGTAGAACTGTACTACCAGTTAAAATACTTGCACTTAATTACTGGGACACCCTGTATATGCTACGACTAAAATGGATAATTGGCTAGTTTTCAAACTATAGCCAGCTATTATGCAAAAATCGCTGTTATTTTGTTGGTTAGGTGTTAATTTCCGGTGGCATGGCGGTTCTAATGTTAGTTTACAAAATATGTGGCTAGTTTGAAAACTAGCTAAGTATCCATTTTAGCCGTACCATAAACATTAATGCACAACTTTGCTCTAATTTAATCATCGTCGTATCTCCTATAGTATTTGAGATCCCAATGATGGGGTTCGAATTTGTAGTAGTAGGCATATATGTTTGAAAAAACTATTATGATGAGAGAGTGTTGTGTTTAGATGCTAAAATTATGTATTATTATTCTATTGCCATCGAGCTAAAGAATCAATATCTAATATTCATAGTTAGAAAATCGTAATTGCAATAAAACCTGCAGTTATCGTTCTACTCGGCCTCAATTTCACTTGAAGCATATGGTAACACAGATGTTTCATTTTCTTCAAACTGAATGTCACAAATGATCAGAGATAACTTGAAAGGCGACTTTATATTTTTTTATTAGAAATAACTTCTAGTGGTACGAATTCTAATCCTACACTGTCACTGAATTGAGTTTGGTATAGTTTATCTGAAGACAGTTGGAATTTGGAATAGATTGACACTCTTAATTTCGGCGCTGACAAGTCTTTGACGGCATTGTCGGGACAAAAGAATTACCACTTCCAATTGACTTCGGAAATACTATACGTAAGTGTTTTTTTTTAAACCCAACATGGCAATAACGGAGTTCTTAGTCTTCGATTTCAGGAAAACAAAATTTAAAGTTAACAATTTATTCGATGTCTCTATCAAAAAACTCCGTTTTCTGACTTGTTGATGACATGTCATTTCAACAAATAAATTAATAAGGTCAGCAGGAAATCTGCACCTGCACCTTCTAGCCTTTGATATTATATCAGTTCTATATTTTGAAGAAAAAACGAAATTGACTTAAACGTTTAGTTCTTTTTTAATTTATTGTGAATAGATTTCTCATGAACTTCTATTCTCTACTGGGTACTTGTACAAAATTGCTCTTTTTTGTATGGATCATTTAACTTTCTAAAATATTCAATTTCATTTTTTAATCAATTGCGATTTTTTTTAACTATATCTGCTTGTAACTTTTGTTCTATATGTTTTTAGTTTTATTCTGAATTGTGCGTTGGTTTCCTTCTATTGAATCTCATCTACAATAAGACAAGAATCTCATCTACAATAAGACAGTTCCTAACCAAAGGCAAAATTACTTCTTAACAAACTAAAATTGTTAGTATCTTAAAATATACTGCAAAACAATATCTTCTGTTAGACAGAGAATCGACTGTCTACTTTGATATTCTGTTTAATAATATAGTATTCACTACTATAAAGGTATAGAAATAAAAGAAAACAGAATAATAAATAATTATTATAATACAAACAGTATGACTCCGGATTGTCTTTAAAAGAGAAAAAACTATTTTGTTATTAACATTTTGAGAAAAATGCATTCTTCATAAAAAATTTTGCATGTTCTAAAATGGTTAATCCCGTTTTTCCTTTTCCAAATTTGCATACCTTTTAAGAAAAAATTAAGAAAAATATGAAAATATGGTTCTAAAAAACAGGCGTTTCTATGATAATATCAATCCGATTTCATTCTTTTATAGATGATTATTATTAATTTTGATTAACGTCATATTCTTTGCTGTCGTTAAAGTATCACACTTTCTGATAACGATGCATCCTTTCTGTAGCTTTGAACTAAATAAATTTTGTGCTTCTTTAACGTTTTAAAACAACAAAAAATATGACGTTAATTAAAATTCTGTGAATAACAATCTATTAAAGAATGAAAACCATAGTTACCAAAGAAAAGCGTTTTGATTTTTAGGACTTCAAACAAAATAAAAATTCAACAATATATTTTCTCTAAAATGGTGTGGAAATTTAGAAAAGTATAAACCGAATTAACCATTTTAGACCAAGCAATTTTTTTATGAAGAATGCATTTTTCTCAAAATATCAATAATAAAAAGTTTTTCCTCTTGTAAAGACAATCCGGGGACTTGTATATGTTTTATTCACCAAAAAGAGTAATACTTAATGATAACAAGGAACAGTAGCATAACTAAGCAGGTATCAAACCACAAATACAGGAGCGCGGCCGTTTGGAGTCGGTTCATATCGATTATCATCCGTGAAGGGTCTGTTTCAAACCGGGTCTGTTCAAAAGCTGTTCGATAGCGGCCTGTTTCAAACCAGGTCTGTTTCAAACTAGGTCTGTTTCAAACAGCCCACCCCCGCCACTGTCACAAGCATGACAGGCGACATAAACCGACGTCATCTTATGAACGGACGCCATCTTGGATTTGTGGACTAATACCCGCTAGTTTTCTGTGAAATATAGTATTGAAAAATAAAATTTATTTTGCTTACCTGTAGGTGGCCTTTCTTTAGGAAAACACGTCCTAAACAGTCCTTTTGTTCTTGTATAATAATAATATTTTGAATTTACTGCATCTAGTAGCGTCTGACTTTGAATATCTGAATTTCTACTAAGGAAGTTCTGCAAATAAAATAAAAAAGAGCTTCTCAAGTATGCTAATATAATATAAAGTTAATAAAGTTTGCTAATATAACATAAAGTATCCTAATATATTAAAGTATGCTAAAAGTATACAAATATGTACAGAGCGTCTTATTTCTGTTGCAATTGAAATTGTTTCTTTGCTAATTTATAAAGGTCTTTACGGTTTTTACGAACCGGAGCAAGTATTTTGAGAATAGAAAGATGGAATAAATAAAATAGTTATGACCTTAGTTTCTATGCTAAAAGATGACGTAGAAAATGTTGCCATTTTTTACATTCCTCGTATCTCACTTATTCAGGGAACTTAATTAAAAAGGCAGAAACGAGTCATTATGGACCATTTTAAGCGGAATCGAGTAACTTTTTTTTCTTCTCAGTATTCCCAATATATCGAGTCGTGGGAACATCGTTCTAGAAAACCCATGCAAATTTTGAACTGTCCAATTATTGGCTCCCCTATTAATTTTACAGCAAAGTCGTAAATAGGTTTTTAAAATAGCTCGCGTTTTATATGGGTGACCTTCAACAAATTATATACAGAGCGTTTTGCATGGAGCTTCATTTTGTAGATCTTTAAACATCCTGAAACCCCAGCGATGAACCGTTGAGCCCGTCACCCCAAAACGACCCCTGCAAGGGGTAAAAATGGCCCTTTTTTTACTTTTTCTTCAATAACTCTAAAACTACGAATTTTAGGAAAAAAAGTCACGAGTAAAAAATTGAAGGGAAGAAAATTTCCTTCCGCACAGGTAAAGAGCCAAAATTTTTAGAATTTCAGTGGCGCAGGTGCGAATTCTTTAATTTAGGAGGATTGTTTTAGTAACCCACCATTCTGTGTTTAACTTCAAATGAAAGCATTTTTGAGATAAATCTCGAGACCAAAAAAATTATTAGGATACAAGTTCCTATAAAAATGATATTTTTAATAAAGGTAAGTTACCAGTGGCGGAGATAATTTTTTTAAATGTGCGTTTTTTACATTTTAAAAACATTGAATAAGAAAAATTGCAGTTTTACAAATAATTTTTCATGAAATAGGTATATTGAAAAATTTACACGTTTAATAACAAAATAAGAAAAACCTTAGCTCAGACATAGGATAACTTGTCTTAAGGATAGTCCTCATTCACTTCCACATTTGTTGGGTTCATACATGTAATGCCATTGCATTGACCACATGCCATAGTGCAGGTGAGTCCCATTCGCTTGCATGTACATGCTTTTTTACAGCATCCCGAAGAGCAATTCCAAAAAATTTTCTCTAAAACCTATGTAGGAGCAATGGGGTTGTCTGAATGTATTGGATTCATCTCTCGATTTTTCAGATTCCAACCCCATTGTTGCGATATTTTCAGTTCTGTTTTCTCAATACTATAATTATATAACATATCACTATGGTAAAAATGTCACTGTTGTTTTTGATGGCTATGAAGAGATACAGATCAAAATTGTGGAGCAGAATCGCAGATCTGCAGGTAAAAAAATGGTACAAATTGTATCTTTCTCGAAAGTACCAAAGACAGATTTTTTGTCAAACAACACCAAGAAAAGCAACTTCAATCGTGCGCTCGGAAAAGTATTGTTGGAAAATGGAATCAATGTTAAATTCGCTGATGGTGATACCGATACTCTTATTGTAACTACAGCGGTCGCAATAAGTGACAATTTACCAGAAGGGACCGTAGCAGTAGTTAGCGAAGATACGGACATTATAGTGTTACTGATTTATTATTGCCACACGAGTCTGTTTATGATTCGTTCGGGAAAGGTGTCAAAACCAAATAAAATAATCGACATATCGGCCTTACAACAAAAATTGGGGGATCTGAAGAATGTGATTATTAGTGTCCATGCTATATCTGGTTGTGACACAACGTCTGCTGTGCTCAATAAAGGGAAGATTAATTTAGTGAACACCATCCAGAAGAAAAAGTTATGTGAGCTATTAAAAGAATTTTATAATCCTTTTATATAATAATTATATAAAAGGAGAAGTTAGAAGAAGTTACATCTCAGTTTTTTATAGCAGCATATGTTAAAAACTCGACAAAAAAAGTAGATTTGGATAGTGCCAGACACATGCTTTATCAACAGTACGTAGCTAAACGAAGTCTTAATACCAACTTCAACTTGGCATAATTACCACCTACCTCCAATAGTGCGAAATATCATGGACTTAGAGTTTTTCATCAGGTAAGTTAAATTTATGTTGCATTCAAATGTTAAACAAAATTCTCATTTTTAACTTACAGATACAGGCTTGGTTAAATAACAATTTACCACCGCAAGATTGGGGTTGGAATCTGAAAAATCGATTTTAGGTACATTCAGACCACTCCATTGATTCTACATGGGTTTTAGAGAAAATTTTTTGCAATTGCTCTTCGGGAGGCTGTAAAAAACATGTACATGCAAGCGAATGGGACTCACCTGCACTATGGCATGTGGTCAATGCAATGGCATTACATGTTTGAACCCAACAAATGTGGTAGTGAATGATGATAAGTTATTCTATTTTTGAGCTAAGGTTTTTCTTATTTTGTTATTAAACATGTAAATTTTTCAATATACCCATTTCATGGAAAATTATTTTTAAAATTGCAATTTTCCTTATTCAATGTTTTTAAAATGTAAAAAACGCACATTTAAAAAATTATCTCCGCCACTGGTAACTTACCTTTATTAAAAAGATCGTTTTTATAAGAACTTGTATCCTAATAATTTTTTTGGTCTCGAGATTTATCTCAAAAATGCTTTCATTTGAAGTTAAACACATAATGGTGGGCCATTAAAACAATTCTCCTAAATTATATAATTCGCACCTGCGCCACTGAAATTCTAAAAATTTTGCTTCTTTACCCATGTGGTAGGAAATTTTCTTCTCTTCAATTTTTTACTCGTGACTTTTTTTTCCTAAAATTCGTAGTTTTAGAGTTATTGAAGAAAAAGTAAAAAATGGGCCATTTTTACCCCTTGTAGGGGTGGTTTTAGGGTGACGGGCTCATCGCTTCACCGCTGGGGTTTCAGGATGTTTAAAGATCTACAAAATGAAGCTCCATGCCAAATTTCAGCTTGTCTCTAATTTGTTGAACGTCGGCCTGTATAGGCTCTGGGCTAAAAGGTCTGATACGTATACTGAATATAGGCCATATACATGCCAAATTCGAACAATTTTGGACAAGCCAATTTTAAGTAATTTACGAAAAACTGCATCTATTTTTAAATTAAAACTTAACAGATAACAATGCAGAACTACTCAAATGTCAACATACCTAAAATTCTAACTTATAATTTTATCATTATCAAATATAATTTGTTGTGCTTTCTACGCAACTACGTTATAGTAGTGGACCCCCAGGGGTCCACGGGAGACTTGCTGGGGGTCTACGTAGGCGTGAACAAAAAATGGGGGTCCATAAGATGTTAATGGGGGTCCACGAAAATTTATCTGCTTTTGATAGTAAAGAGCAAAAATGTAAGCATAGTTTTTATAAGGGCCTACCTACATTGTTTTAAGTACCTATCTAAGCAGATAATATTTTAATAAGGCAAGCGACTGTTACTTGTCCAAACTTGCGTATTCGATATTACGTGTACAGACTTGCAAAGCGCTATCCGCCCGACAATGCTTAATGCTTGTTCAGACATGAACTTGATCACCACTATAAATACTTGATGCCAAAGGCAAACGCATTCATTTGTTTCCGGTATTTCGAAAAAAAGGCGGAATTTGGAAAAAAAGTTGTGAGAAAATTTATATCTGTGTTTGCTAGTGCCGGAGAAAAGTAAGTAACCTACCTTTTTTTTGTTATAGTACTTAAGTATTTTGTTTACGTGTACTAGTCGGTTGATCACAACGGCCTGTATAGATAGGTAACTTAGTAACTTACAGATATTTTAATTGTCCTCTTTCGATTTGAAGACAAACACAGCACGTTTTATTCAATTGTTTTTCACGAGAGAAACACTGCCTCTCTAAAAAGGCCGAATAAGCAATATTGCAGAGCAATTAATTTTGTAATTTTTCTCTTGCAAATAACTACTAATTTTATAAAACAGTAATTTCATAATCATTTTAAATTGGTTTTGAAGTAACTATTTTATCAAAACTATTCCTTTTCGGAAAGAGCGAGCGGTGCGCGGGCGACGGGAAAAGGGCGGGGCTTGGACTTCGATGCCAGTTTGTCACGTTTTAACAATGAAGCCGCAGACAAAAAATACGCAAATACACGGAGCGCGTGAACTCATTGATTTAATAAAATGTTAGTTATCGTTTTTATGGACAATTTTGGGATTTCGACTTTTATTTTTTCCTACACAAATATGATCAGTATTCGATACTGAGTACACCAATTTTTATTTATACTATTAAAAATAAGTGGTAAATTATGTACTTTAAAATTGATACCGTTTTGTGAAAACGTCTGTATTTGTCTCAGCGGTTTATTAGTTGGTCCCTTTACAAGCCGTAATTCTATTTCCGCGTGCTGACAAAGGCTGCGGTGTGATACCTATATTCAGAAAAAAACTTGGTTACTAAAACATTTTTTACAGGTAAGGTAACTGACACGAAACATGGCTACAGCAAAGAAAAAATGTCGACAATATAGTATCGATTATTTGAAATATGGTTTTGTTCCATCAGAGGCAGACAAACAATTGCCCATGTGCCTATTATGCAACAAAGTTTTGAGCAATGACTCTATGAAACCATCAAAGCTCGAAGATCATCTAAAAAGGTGTCATACTGATAAAATAGGTAAAGATTTAAAATATTTTCAAACATTGAAAGAAAAATATGGAAAGAGACCCACCATGCACAGTATGTTCGCTTCAACATCTCAAAGTAACGATGATGGCTTGCGGGCATCTTACAATATCTCATTACTTATAGCAAAATCTGGAAAACCGCACACTATCGGAGAACAATTAATTTTACCCGCTGTTGAAGAGGTTTTAAAAACTGTTTTGCACAA